AAATACTTGGAAGTTCAGTTATCTCTCAATAGATGGAGAAAAATTAAGAAAACATACTTGGAAGTTCAGTTATCTCTCAATAGATGGAGAAAAATTAAGAAAACATAGTTGGAAGTTCAGTTATCTCTCAATAGATGGAGAAACAAATAATAAGGAAAAATACTTGGAAGTTCAGTTACCTCTCAATAGATGGAGAAAAAATTACTTGGGAGATCAATTATATCTCAATAAATGGAGACGTTACTGAAATATTATTAAAAACCTTTACTTAAAAGACAAAAGTACTGTCACTCCATAACCAACACGTCCTGATGCTCGTAAAAGTAAATCCCTTTGTGTGCATTCCAGAAAGAAAGATGCATAATTTATGTTTATTCCATAATTTTTATGGTGGTTGCGAGATCGTTCAAATTTTCCAGACCCGAACAGAAATTGATTACTGAAAATAATAGATAAAATATAAAATTTTCTCTTAGGAAACGTTTGGTAACTATTTGGACATTATAAAAATTTACCTTTAGTAACAATTTTGGTGGCAGACAAAACCTATCTGTTCTTTCAACTGAAAAACTCCTCATAATATCACTCTTTTCATATATATTTTTTGTAATTGCTTATCAAATCTTTTAAACTCGAATTCTAAACGAAATGACATATTCCCAGATTCTAGTCAACTGAGGCTACTCTTCTCAACCGATTTACCATTCTAAAGCAGCTCATAAGAGGTGGAGAATGCCTCCTCATAGATTTTTGATAAATAAATGATTTCTTATTTGTTACATACTGATATTCTTATTTTATCTGTTTTTTATGCATAAGAATCTAGAATGCTGCCTAGTCGTGTAGCAAAATGCTCAAGCATATTCTTGATCACTCGTCGAGATCTTGCAGCATGAAGCACATACAACAAGGGCCACTTGGCTCTTTCTTTATCCGTACAGTTTCTGTGTACTTCTGTCAGAAAGAGCTACGGTGAGAGAGGAGGTTGGCTTTACAGTTACTTGAATCAACGGAAAACTAGAACTAGAAACAACCAACAAAAATCAATTTAAGAATAGTTTGCAACCAAACAAGCATGCAGAAATCAAGGGTTGGTGCACATTTAAGGATTCTGTGATTATGAAGGGTTTTTCAAGATATAAGGAATTAAAAAGAGAGTTTTATCGATTAGGTTATATTTACGCGGTAGATAAAGTTCAATTATTTTTTTATTTATTTGGGAGTTATTTCAGTAGGATTAGCAGATATTTTTGAATGTGCCATAATTTGATGAAAGATTATATAAAACCATCAAATGTTCTTTAAAGTTTAGGTCTCAGAATCAGTTTTGACTGTTTGGATCAAATAATCTGCTTTGAAAATCGAGAAAAACTCATCGAAAGTTTCGAGTTCACAAGGCCATCATTTATCTAAATAATCGATCCATTCCGTTAATCTTCTATAACAGCAACAGCAGTATCTTAAAGGAAATGAAAGACTAGAGTTGGAATATCAAGCCATGGTGCCAAAATCTCAATTTCGTGGATAAAGCTTCATATTGAGATATAATGTATTATCTACGTATTGTGTTCACAATATTTGTTTCTTTTTTTGTTCCTTACAGTCATTTTATATTTATGTATCTTTCAACCATACATAGTCTTCTTCATACTAATTTATTATTATGGATTATTTAGCAGATAAATTGTTTAAGCTATTAATAAATGAATATGAAGCCAATCTCTCATCCG